GAGACGGGGCGACCCTCCTTGCCCCGCCCCGCCCCGCCAACCCACTCGGGGCGGGGCACCGTAGGGGCGGGGCGGGGGGATTTTTTTTGCCATCTCTAATGTAGCCTCATTCAAATGACTGACATTTCTTGTCATAGATATCAATTAATCATAGTCTTAAATACTACTACCATTTTTGTATCCATAAGGCCTGGCTTGCGGCCTTGGATTTGACCAAATAGGTTGGCGGTGGCGGTGGTAGTGAGTTGTCCTGTCAATTGCATAATACAGGATCTGGATCTGCTCTCCCATAGGGTTCGGGTGTAATGGGGTCAATCTAGTTTCCGCGGAAAATTGTTCATCCACGCTCGAAGGTCAGTTCAACTTCGCCTTGTGTTAGTGTACAAGGCGTGGAATCCCCGAACCATTTGCCACGTAGGATGGTTAAGACCACATGGGGGTCCTTGTGTAGAGAAGGGTAACAATAGTCCCTGAAGTCCAAGTATGATTATTCATATAATCCGTGGACTTTCGAGTTTGAAGAAAAATGATGTTGTCATAACAACAATTTGAGTTTGAAGAACAAGGGCATCACTTGCAAAAGGCTAGATCTAATGAAGCGATGCCCTAAAGGGTGAGCTATTTTGATGAAGTTGAATCCTGTAATAAGGCTAAATTATATGAGGCGATGCCCTTGTTGTAAAGGGCGAACCGCTTTAATGAAGGTGAAACCTGTGATAAGGTTAACTTACATAAGGCGATGCTTTTGTTGTAAAGGGCGAGTCACTTTGATGAAAGTGAAGCCTGTGATAAGGCTAACTTACATAAAACGATGCCTATGTTGTAAAGGGCGAGCCGCTTTGATGAAGGTGAAGTTTGTGAATAGGCTAAATCACATGAGGCGATGTCCTTGATCATGTTCTGGTCCCATTTGAATGGGGATGACTGATGAGACCTATTTCTAGGTCTTGATGGTCTAATCCTGTCAAAAACACCGGTGGATCTCAGGGGTCCACGTTCTTGAGCATATTTTGGGGAGAAGTTACCCTTCTGTAGCACAATGTCACTGGGTCGGCTAGTAGCATAATTTGTGGACATATCCATTTTCACTACCTTTTCCAGTGGGCTGAGCTCCCATGTCATTTTCCTCGTTTTCTTAGGGATACATTCCTTTAAGCAACTATTGTACGGTAGCATTCTGTTGAGCCATGTTCCTCATGTTCGTGGTCATTTCCCCCACTTCCCTAGCTAGGTGTTCTGTGGTACCGTTTCTCATGTATTGATGATGGGGAAGATAACATTCATATTCGTTCGGAGGACTTCTTCTTCAGAAGCTTCCAGTTGTCAATTTCTGCCTTGTGAGCCGTACTGGCTGGAGCTCATAATGTGTATTTGGCTTGGAGCTAAGGACATGTTTTTAAGTGCTTCCTTCCTGCAACGGTTCTTTCTCCATGAACCAAGGACATTCGTGGTTATAGCATCGAATTTCACACAGACGACGCCAATCTGTTGACCCCAGAAAATATATCAGGGACGTGGCTAACGGATTCCAAGGTTTATACGTCCACGCAAGCTAGGTTCATGTACACTTGTACAAACTATTAGTTATATGTGGCCTTCTCCGGAGGGGGTGGAGTTGATCCCGTATACTCTGACGGTCAAGTCAGTTGGAAAAATAGTTATATGAGTGTGAGAGAGTTTGAAACATGAGCCTCCAATATAAAAAGGGGAACAGCTTTAGGGAGAAACAAGTAAAAGATAGGGTAGCTAGGTTATAGCTTTAAGAGTAAACTTGCATTACCTTTGAATGACACTAAGTGTGAGTTTTTATACTTAGGCAAGACGAATGAAGGTAGTTGGATGACAACGCACGTGGCCTCATCCAAATGACTAACATTTATTGTCGTAGACATCAATCAATCGCAGTCTTAAATGCTAATACAATTTTTGTATCCATAAGGCCTAGCTTGTGGCCTTGGATTTGACCGATAAGTTGGTGACGGCGACAGTGAGTTGTCATGTCAGTTGCGTAATATAAGATCTGGATCGGCTCTCCCATGGGGTTCGCGTGTAATGTGGTTGGTTCAATTTCGCCTCGCGGGGGAAAATGGGTCGTCTGCGCTCGAATGTCGGTTCAGCTTTGCCTCGTGTTAGTGTACAGGGTGTGGGATCGCCGAACCATTTGCCACGTAGGATGGTTGAGACCATGGGGGTAGAGAGGCGTAATAGATAAAATAGTCTTTTTAATCAGAAGATAGACATTTTAACCCTTAATTAACAGAATGAGATAAAAAGGACCAATTTCGTACCAAAAGGTTGATTCAGGATGGTTATGCGAAGAATGAAAGAATTGGTCCTGAATCCGTACGAGGGAGCGACCATTTCAAATTAGGGAAGAGAGTTGAAAGGGTTTTCTTCTTCACTTGAGCCTGCTAATCCTCCGTAAAACTATAATCTCGCGTAGAATCATCGATGGCTTCATCGTCGTCTTCTGCACCCGCCGTTGGCCCAGATATCCCGTGGGTAGAGAAATTCAGGCCCACCAAAGTGGCGGACATAGTGGGGAATGAAGATGCCGTTGCCAGGCTCCAAGTCATCGCGCGAGATGGAAACATGCCGAACCTCATTTTAGCCGTAAGAATTCAGTCTATCAACGATCAGTCTTATTTATTAATCGTATTACTCTATCAGTTTTGTATATTTTTTATGAACTTTACTGCTGTAAGCAATGTGCTGGAGCATACTGGAAACTGGAGGCTAGGTGAAAAATGATAGATTTTTTGAAACTATGGGTAGTAAACGAAGTAGGGTTTTGGTTTGATAATGCAGGGATTTTACTCGCGAGTGTGGGAAATTCCTGTAGGTTACTGCGTGTAGATGCTGTACCAATTTATAGATGTCTGTGGTTTAAAAATATTCTCACTTTTCGCACTAGTTCTGCGGAAAAATGGTGAATATTTCCAGCATGTTTTGGTTGTTGATGTATCAAGATGAAGCAATTAGTGCATTACATGCTTAAGTATGCTAGAAATTTCCTCTTATTTCCAAAGGAAACTGCTTTAACGTCTATAGCCCCGCTGACAAACGTGTTTATACACATCTGAAGAGGAAAACATATTGTCTTGCTCAGGACTTTTTCCAATGCTATTATTTTCTTCCTGTGAATTTCTTGTGCAAATAAATAACTCTTATGTAGCCATCTAGGTTTATCTTATGCAAAGAAAACTATGTTTAAATATGTTATCCATCTTGGTTTGATGTTAGTACCTCTGACTGATAAAAAACTAGTTTTAATTATCTTTCTTCTGTTATTTTCTCTTTTATATTTCTTCCTATCTTTTCGGTTGTTTGCTTAATAAATATTTCTCGGTTAAGGCGATTATTAAATGTTGGGAGGGTAAAGATAGAACAAACAAGTTCCTCATTATCTCTCAGGAGACTTTCAGTTTTAGACACATCACTTCCTTCGGATACATATGAAAATCGTCATTACAATCTCTTGAATGCATTTGCAGGGCCCCCCTGGAACCGGGAAAACCACTAGTATATTGGCACTTGCACATGAACTGTTGGGACCAAATTATAGAGAGGCAGTTTTAGAACTAAATGCATCAGACGACAGGTATGTGAAAAGTATGACTTAGCTCTATTTTTTCTGCTTTTGTGGTACTCTTGGTTGATTTTCTGAAAATGCAGTGATTTCTTTTTTCTTGTGCAGAGGGATTGATGTTGTGAGAAATAAAATAAAGATGTTTGCCCAGAAGAAAGTCACTCTGCCCCCTGGTCGGCACAAAGTAATTATCTTGGATGAAGCTGACAGGTGAGTGATCTTGTGATTGAGTTGCTAATGTGCTCATTCTGCCTGTGAGTGAAATTCATGCAAGGACCATTATTTCTTTGCATAATTTTTTCCTGTCTAATCTTAACACATTTACTAGCCAGGCAGTTGCTTATATTGCAGCTTGTCTGTCTAGTCTTAGTTTTCAAGATGTTTACTTATATTTGTTCTGGACATGTCTGTGTCTATTGTCTTCTTGAATGGAAATTAGCATGACATCTGGAGCTCAACAAGCCTTGAGGAGGACAATGGAAATATATTCAAATTCCACGCGCTTTGCACTTGCTTGCAATACATCTTCAAAAATTATCGAGCCCATTCAGAGTAGATGTGCCCTTGTTCGGTTTGCAAGATTATCCGATCAAGAGATCCTTGGACGTCTCATGGTGGTGGTTGCTGCAGAAAAGGTACATAAATTTTCTGTCTGTGATAACCCTTTTGAATTATAATCTCTTTGAACAACTTACTGATTATGGTCTCATGCACCTTTCTTCCAAGCTTTCCGTGAAGTCCTCATTGTATTAAACCTGGTGACATTTCTAATTTCAGAAATGTGTTTTCCTTCTTTCATTTAAAAATTCTAAAGTCAAATGGCAGATTGATTTGGTCATGACGTTTATCCTTGAGTATTTTTGCTAAATAGTTCCATTTTCATCTCTACTTACTTGAACATCAGGCCCCAACTGATGTTATTGTAAATGCGTGTATTAGCATGGTCTCTAAGGTGCTTTCAGCTTTTATTAGACCAATGTTCTTTGTGGCACTGGAAATAAGTTCAGTGTCCACTCTCATTATCTTATGTTCTACGTTTATTCAAAACGTCTTTACTTATAATCATCATGTTAAATGTTCTCTATTCAGATGGCTTAAGTTTCCCCGTGTATCTGGAATCATCATTTCAAGTTAAGGCCAAATTGACATATTTTGTAATGATGTAGGTTCCTTATGTTCCAGAAGGTCTTGAAGCAATCATTTTTACGGCTGATGGTGACATGAGACAGGCCTTGAACAACTTGCAAGCGACAAACAGTGGATTTGGTTTCGTCAACCAAGAAAATGTTTTCAAGGTCTCTAGGCAGGAATTCTAGCATTATCTTAGCATTAATCTTCAAACCTCATGGATTGATTGTTAATTTTTCGCTTGGCTTACAGGTTTGTGATCAGCCTCATCCCTTGCATGTGAAGAACATGGTACGCAATGTAATCGAAGGAAAATTTGATGATGCTTGTGCTTCTTTGAAGCAGCTCTACGATTTGGGCTATTCTCCCACTGATATAATCACTACCCTTTTCCGAATTATAAAGAACTACGATATGGCAGAATATCTGAAATTGGAATTCATGAAGGTTTGTTTGAACCCATTGTATCTCTGTATCGTCTTTTCGCCCATTTGCCTATTCTTTTTACCTACCCTCTCTTCTGTTGGATACTCAGGAAACTGGATTTGCCCACATGAGGATTTGTGATGGAGTCGGTTCATATCTTCAGTTGTGCGGTCTGCTGGCTAAGCTTGCATTGGTCCGGGAAACAGCCAAAGCAGCATAACTAGAAAGCTGACGTGTTAAAAAAGAGTTTTTACTATTAGTACGAGCTTTTGTTGAATTTTTTTGCACCGTTGTGTTCCTATATCGCTGCTAGATTAATTTTCGAGTAATAGCTCTCTTTTGTCTTCCAAGACATGAACTTTGCATGAAATGTCAGCTGCTCCAACTAATGGAAGTACTATATATCGGGTTTTAATTATGTAGTTAATATCGATGTATCTGAAATTTTTTATGACATTTTGAACCAACGTCATCACTAGGATTGATTGTGCCATTATGATGAAAGATAGTTTTTAAAAAAATTAAGTAGCTCTTTGTCTTTCACTATTTTCAAAATATTTTTTTTCTAGAATTCATTTTTAACTTTATCCTCAAAATAAAATATTTTACGCTAAAATTTAAAACATTTTTCTATTTTTTTAATCACGTATTTTTCAAAAAATTATTATTTCAAAATTCATTTTCCTACATTAATGGCAGACAAACAGTAACTTGCTAATGCAACAACAGTATAGGACCAAAGATACGATTTTCCAATAAATAAGTCGTGGTATTGATGGAGATGGGGCTGGGTGGCGCTCTCGGTCCTTTCACCGCTAGGAATTTTTGAATGGTCGGGCAAATATCCCCATCTGTCGTCTTGTTCACTTCATTTATTTGTTTAATTTAATTTTAAAATTATAAAATAAAATAAAAAGATTTAATTTAAATATAAAAGAGGAAATTACACTAGACCAAGTGTTTAGTTTTAACTTTCTAAAAATCACGTATTAATTTTACAATTAATATTAATAATAATATTTTAAAATTATATTACTCTATATACCCACCCCACCCTACCCTACCCCTACCAATACCAAATTTCCTAATCCTAGATAATCATTTCTCTCCACTCTCTCACTTCTCTCTAGCACTACCGACCACCGCCTCCCTGCCTTCAACCCCTTCCCCCCTCCCTCCCTTGGCCTCGACACTGCTGTTGTGGGTGTGCAGCGTCACGGCGACACCCACAGCAGCGTCGCTCGACGCTGCGACACCTACAGCAGCGTCGAGCGATGCTGCTGTGGTCGCGATCGACATCTTTGTGTGTTTTGGGGATGGATTGTGGGTGTGTGTTTCCCCCCTTTCTCCCTTCGT